TGTGAATCTCGAGAAAGCTCACTGCAAAGGCATTGCTACGGGAGGGAGCACTGAAGGGCTGCTGTGGAGCCTTTATTTACCCACAGAACAGTCGTTCTTTTAAAACTGCATTAAAGCACCTCAGCGTATAGGCCAAAGCAGAAGGCTAGGATTACTTTTGTTAAACGCAGCAATGACAAAAACTCAGGCATTTGCGCTCTATAGAGCAAAATAGGCTCTTCTGCCCTGAATCTCTGACACCCTTCCCGCTTAGCAGGCCTGGATGGCCGCGCCATGTCAGGTGTCCCATGCCACACACTTGGGCTGCCATTTCTTTTAACTCTTCCGTTCTAGAAGAACGGAATGATGCTCGCTAAGGGTGAAAACAATGCTCAGAGCACCCAGAGTTAAAATTCAAACAAGAATCTTTTGGCTTTCACATCTTCCTGTTGGACACAAAAAACCGTTTGCCAGACAGGTTTCAAGGAATTTGACAAATGATCAGCTTCTGAAACTCACACAGTGAGCTGGGAGTGGAGAACAGGTTTTCCAAACCCCTGTCCAAGTTCTTTCACCACAGTACTGCACTGCCTGCCACCCAAAGCGCTGGGTTTTCCCAAGAGGTGTTTGGATGGGATTCTAGTTAGTGAGATGCAAATAGGTCTGACCCACATTCCACTCTCGGATAAAGGAAACCTTGCAAAGGGCACAGCCCATTTCATGTGCTTCCTTTGAAAGTCCCACTGTGCACAGTAGCAATTCCAGGTAAATCTGCCAGGGGCTGACAGCGTGAGGTCCACTAGAACACCAGAAGAAGTACCCACAAGCCCCACAAAGGTGCCAAGAGGTTGGATCAAGCAGCCATCAATTTTTAACCGTGTAAAACAACCTTTCAAGTCACGTAGTCCAGCTCTAATTGTATAAGTGGGATCCAGAGTAATAATGCTCCTTGTAATAGTGTGCACAAGGATCGGAAGCCAGCCAGCAACAGACCTTCCCCCGGTCTCTCAGGTCTCTTTTATGTAATGTGACATTGAATGGTAATATTTTCAGAAGTATAGGATGTTGTAAGCTGAAGTGGGATTGGCTGGCTATAAAGCCATCAATGATTATGAAACATCTCTTGGATTAAACTTTTCCTTATCCGGCTGACAAAATTGTCCTCAAAACAATTCCCACTGCTGGCTTTCAAATCCAACCAAGTTGGTGCATGTCTCACCACCTAACAAACGTTCATTCTGGCCTCCAGCGTTTCCATGTCCTATTTCTCCCTGCCTGGGCACCCCCTAGGTCTCCACCAGTCTACATTACTCACATCCTCCAAGAGGGTTCTCCAGTGACACCTTACCCATTAATGTTTCTCTTGCTCTGATTTGTGCAGTCAGTTCAATTTTCTTCCTATCACAAAACATGTTTATTATTATTATTATTTTATGTACTTGGTACAGGGCCCTACTATTCAGCCCAGACTCGAAGTGACCCTCCTGTTTTCAGCCTCCCCAGCGCTGGGGTTACAGGCATGCACCACCATGCCCGGTCTCTGTGGCTGGCTCAGTGCGCCCAGGGGCAGGGCCCGGGTGGCATGTGGTGCTGGAATCAAACCTAGGTCTCTGCACTTGCCTAAACAGGCACTTAGTCCACTGAGCTATCTCACTGGCCCTAAAAATACTTGTTTATTGTCTAGTTGTTTCTTACATCCCCAGAGGACAGGATCAATTACTTCTACCTGATTTTACTTGTCATATTGTCTCAGACAATGCTGTGCAGTAATATTTGTTAAAAGAAGCAAACATCGCAATGCCAGGGAAACTTCATTTTTGGTAGAAAATTAATTAAAGATAACTTTCATGTTGCAAGGTGATTCTGATTTGGCTGATTTAGTGCCGGGGACTGAACCCAGGCCTTCTCATTGGGCCACATCCCTAGTCTTCTTTTATTTTTTGAGAAAGGGTCTTACTAAATCACTAAGTTGCTCAGGCTAGGCTCAAACTTGGGATCCTTCTGCCTCAGCCCCCAGAGTCCTGAGATTACAGATACACAGCACCACAATCAGCTAGTTACTCTGATTGCTCAAACTCTTACATGTATATGGGCTTGAAAGTGCACTGAAAAGCGAATTCAGTAGCTGATCCTCTTATATAACACTGGTCCGGTGGTTTCCAATCCTGGCTGCTGGGCTGAATCAACCGCGAGGTTCTTAAAATTATGAGGACCCAGGCCTCAGCATAGTCAGCTCTTCGAAAGTACGCAGAGCAATGATTTCACCTATGGTAGTTATGATAGTTTATTTGCACAACTTTATTAATAGATTTTTTTTCCCTAAAGAATGAGCAGATTCAAATATGGTTGTCTTGTTTCCAAATCACAGCATTTTAGAACTGAGAACTAAGACCTCCAGACTGATCCTTCCACTTTATAGCTAAGGACACTAGGAGCAGCTGAGTGGCCTCGCCTGGTGAGGGGGTGGTTCCGAGGGGCCAGGTCCTATCCAGAGTTACTGGGATTCTCTGAACTCAGATTCTTGAGCTGCACTCAGTAAACTGAGCTGTTTGGCTTCTCAATTTCCATTGCTAAAAAAATGTACAAAAAGTACTGCTTGCGAAGAGCAGGAGTTTCAAGGCAATCAGCACCAGGCTCTACTGCAAGCCCGTCAGCACAGCGCATCCAGCTTGCCCATTTTCATGGCAAGAGGAAGTGCCACAGCGGGACATAGCAAAGTCCAAAGAAATGACTGATCTGGTTGCACAGCCTTCTTCACAGCCCTGACCTAAGAGTTTATGACATTTTTTTCATAATGTCTTCTTATCAGAATCCAGAGCACTTCTACCCCTTAACTCTACCACTCATTAGGAGACTTATTTGCTTACTAGCAACCTGGTCAACACCCTGAACTTTCCTTTTCTCTGTTTAAAAAAAAAAAGAGTGCCTGCCCTACTGACCTTACAGTTTTCAGCTATTAAAAGGGTTAAGTCAGGTTGGGGAGATGGCTCAGTAGAATAAGCGCTTCCCTGGCAAGCACAAGGGTCTGAGTTCAATCCCCGGTTCTGCAAAAAAAAAAAAAAAAAAGGTTATGTCAGATAATCCAAGCCAATATTTTGAGGACAGAAAGCAGTATTCATATACCATATAGATATATGGAATAACATTACTATCTTTCAGAGCAATGACTTGCAAATACACTGTAGCTTTTAACTACTGAGGGTCTGATTCCTAATGCTTGGTACCATGCACCCTACAAATCAGCAGGAGCCAGAGGTAGAGCTGGAGAAGAATTTCTAGTCACCAAAAGCATCACAGACTAGTTAGGGAGGCAGTGTGCTGGAGTGGCTGCTGTAAGCTCTAGTCTCAGAGCCAGCTTTTAACTATTGACTCTGGACAAGCCACTTAATTCTTCTGGGGCCAGAGTCTCATCAGTGGTCAATGGGTGACTTAAATTAGAATCAAAGATCCTTTGATTTATAAAATCAGAATATTAATGCTTAAAGTTACTAAAGTACAACTTCTCAAGTCATTAATTCATGTGGTTTCACGTATTTTCAAGCTCTTTTTAGACATAAACTCAGGCAAATAGATGTTCAAAGATGTGTAAGATCCGCTTTTAAAAATTTCTTTTCTATTAGGATTTTGTGCTTGCTGATACCCTCTCCAAGGGATCTTTACTCCAAAAATAAATATGTAGTTACCCAAAAAGTAGTTGATGAAGTATTGGACATCCAGCTACTTTAAAAGCCCTTCGTTTGAGTATCAGTTTGTGTTTCTTACTTCACTTGACTCTGTTTTCTCATCCATAAAGTGGGAACAATACCTCTTCAATGATTCATCGCGTTGTCTATTAAACCATTTGGTAAACTGCAAGATATTAAGATCATACTACTATTACTATTCTATAAACTTTCTAAGAAGTGTGTTTTTTGAGAGGTAAATTAAAATCTAATTTATTACAAATATAGCACCCACCTTGCTATAATTTGAATCTGAAATGTCTCCCAGATGACCACGTGTTAAAGGGTTGATTTCTAAACCGTGGTGCTACTTGGAGGTAGTAGAACATTTAAAAGATGACATGCAAATTTGTGAAGCATTCCATATGAAAAAAAATGATGGAAACTCCCTTGGAGGAAGTCACTGGCACATGCTGGGAGGGAATGTGGGCCCACACCCATCTGCTCTTTGCTTTCTAGCTATCAAGAGGTAAGCAGTTTTCTTGGCTATGTGCTCTCCACCTTGTCAATGGGGCCAAGAGACCATGGACTGAAGCCTCTCATATATATATA